GTAGGGAAAATGCAGAAATGCACTTGTAGAATTGCTTTTGCTTCTCTTTTATAGTTTCATGTCAGAAAGTGTTGAGATGAATAAGAAATGTAGAGTAGGGAAGAAACCAGTCAAGCGAAAGACCATTAAATTACTTTCAGGGAATTTGCTGGTAGGAGAATGCAATTATGGCAATAAATTGAAAAAATGTATTTAAGATACAAGACGCAATGTTATGATATCACCTTATAGCTATGAAATGTTTCAGAAAACTAATGTAGTTGGTTGCTGCTGGATTCCAAAGATATTTTTTCAACTGCACATAATCTCTTATTTGACCATGGTCATTGTTTTTTACTGTAACAGGTTTTACCCATCTTTCCTCGGCTTGTTAATCTTCCGTTGGATAAGTTCCAAATGGCACTTGCTCATATATTGCAGGTATGTGCATATTATCTTGGTTGTTCCTGGACCGTGCTTTGGATTAGAATTAATTTTGAGGCTGACTCGTCGCTGTTTTTTTTTATCATGCAATGAGATTGTTTTCTGATGGATGACCACTTTGTATGTAGTTAGCTGAGCGTATGAACCTGTCATTTCAATTTGACAACTTCCAAATGTAGATGAAGCTGTTGACAATAGAGTTCAATCCTGTTGTTTAAATATGAAATAACTTGTAGTTGTTCTGCATTTTAGATTAATATGGAAGGATCATTCAGGGTTTGTACATAGCATAGAGGATTAGCAATTTGGATTCACTGGAACAATGCTTCTTATGGGCATTCTCATTCTGTGTTGCTTTTCATCTCTTGTTTACAATTCGTTTGGTAATATTTGGCTGAGAGGTAATGCTTGTTCTAATGAATTGTGTACTTCTTTCAACTGTCATGATCTTGGGAGAGCCTCCCCCGTTTTTTATTTATGGCAGGGTTCTGCTCACACGGGTCCAGCCCTTACGCCTGCAGAAGTACTGGTTGCTATTCATGGCATTGTTCCTGAGAAGGATGGTCTCCCACTAAAGAAGGTAATCTACCAATTTTCCAACCTGATTGAAATTATTTTCGGAAGGAATCTTTGCTCTGCTCTTGGTTGCGTTAGATCTATTCTGGTACTAGACTGCTTTTCATGTTTTCAAACTTAATTCTCTTTTTGTGGTGTCATCTTCTGCCTCATGTCTTCTTTATTCTATCTACTCTACAAATTTCTGAATCATGTTGTCAAATGCCCTTTACTTCTAGTCGAATGATCGATGGAAGGCATTTATGCAAAAGATTAGTGGATTCATGAAAACCTACCTCTATCCGTTTGGCTGGGACAAACTTATTACTTCAAGAAAGAATAGACTTTACTTGTCTATTTCTTCTATAGACTTACGAGAAATTACAAGTTCGATGTATCATCCTGCTTATTAGCTAAAGGGCTTATCTGTTTTCTCTATAAACGGTTTCTGTGTTTCTGTCTAATTCAACTATGTGGATGTTCATAATAAGGTAAATGTGTTGAGAATTCTTTGTTGCTCCATGCATTTCTCCTGAATAAATTGTTGAATGTCTTTAGGTATCTGTCCTCCTCCTTACTGTGTGTATTCCTTATCTATGGTGTTTCGTAGAGTACGATAAGAAGTTAGTGCATTAGGCTTTTGATTAGATTAAAATAGTTTTCCATTGAATCATTTAATAAAATTCTGCATGTCTTCTGTTAATTCCTTCTGGTTTATTCGGTTATGTTATTTGGGTTTGTCAGGTAACAGATGCATGCTCGGCATGTTTTGAACAACGCACTGTTTTCACACAGCAAGTCTTGGCAAAGGCCCTCGGCCAAATGGTAATGTTCATTAACAAAATCTCGTAAAATAACGGGTAACGACTATAGTTTAAAGATTTACTTTGCATCTGATTGATTTTTTCTTTTTTTCGGTTTCAGGTTGATCAAACTCCTCTGCCGCTGCTCTTCATGAGAACTGTAATTCAGTCAGTTGATGCTTTTCCGAATCTGGTAAGAGTTAATACTCCTACAAGATTGATCTAAATCTCTGTAGTCTCTTTCGACGACAACTAATAAGTTGATCTTAGAACAACCACGAACCATTTGTTGATTTGAATCTTAGAATGGCATGGTTTCGCGTATGAAACAGTATATTATTAGCTTCTTCTGTTCAGAATTTAGTGTTTCCGAGTTGGTATAGTATGAACAAAGTTCCAAAAAACCTTTTTCTTTAGTCCCTGTTTTTGGAACTCTCGGGTGATTTTTAAGGACTCTCGAGTGGTTTTTTTTGGAGCTAACCGAGTTGATATACTATGAACAAAGTTCCGAAAACCTTTTTTCTTTAATCCTTTTTTTTTTTAACTCTCGAGTGATTTTAAGGACATGATGAAGTTTTGTCTGTATATTGTAAAGCTTATTATGTCGAGTCTTTTGAATCTTTTGTTCAGGTCGATTTTGTCATGGAAATCCTCTCAAAGCTTGTGGGTAAGCAGGTGAGCAAATCTTGGTTTCAAGAATGCAAAAGCTTATAACTCTGTTTAGTTAAAGTTATGGGTACAGATATCGTCACCGACTTAATCGTTCTTTTTTCGGATACACAGATATGGAGACTGCCAAAGTTGTGGGTCGGGTTCGTGAAATGCGTCTCTCAGACACAGCCACATTCTTACCCTGTTTTGTTAAAGGTTTACTATAAGTAGAAACTCTACAGCTTTTTTTTTAACCCGGGTTTGCTAAATATCCGCAGTTTTAAGACGAGAAATCCGTCTTTCTTTCTCGCAGTTACCGCCGACTCAACTGGAGAATACACTGAACAAGTATCCTAACCTCAGACCTTCCCTTGCTGTTTACGCGAACCAGCCAACGGTTAAATCTTCTTTACCAAGGTACAAAAACCCGGGATTTCGCCGTTGTTTCTTACTGCTTTAAAAAAACAATATTTTGCAAACCCCATTTTGAGATCTGAACTTTTCCGGTGTTTGTTTTTTCTTTACCAGTTCTACTCTCGCAGTTCTCGGGATTGAGAACGAACAAGACTTGCTGTCCCGATATTCCCAAACGTTGCACCCTTCTGATGCAAGTTCTTCTATTCACGGGGCGACGTTAACCCGATAATTTTCCGGGAATTTCCAGAAAGTTTGTTGCATTGTTAAAAATAGCCACGAAAGCCGGCTTCTCTCGTTTCTCCTCTGGTGGAGGAGACAGAAACTCAAGCTGTTAACACATGAACGATGTCAGAAAATCGAGACCCGACATGATAACTCTCAGGTGCTGCTGGTTCGGGAAGAAAGGTTAGCAGCGAAAAGAGCGGTTTGTTCTAATGAATTGTGTACTTCTTTCAACTGTCATGATCTTGGGAGAGCCTCCCCCGTTTTTTATTTATGGCAGGGGTCTGCTCACACGGGGCCAGCCCCTACGCCCGCAATGGACCATCTTACATTATGTTCGGAACCCTTTGGTAGATGTTAGCAGCTTCCCATTTCTTCCTTGTGTATGTGTATTTTTATCATATGATAAAATTTTCTGGCATGAAAGGAATGAAATTTGTTTAATATGGAGGAATCCATTATAAGAATAAAACGATTAAGACATTTCTTTGAAGTTGCATGTTCATATTTTGACCGAAGAAGCAAATCCAACTAAACATATTCTCTAGGTCCATATAAATATAAACAATAATCTGATAAAATCCTATTTCACACTTATCACCGAATCGACCGAATCGATTATATAAGATGATCAATTTGGTTAATAACTGAACCGATCATAACCAAAATAACAAATGATTATAATCAAATCAAATTCGATATTAAAATTGAACGGTTAGAATGTGTGTTGGAGTCACCACAATTATCCACTTTCCTCCGCCTCAAATAGTAGATTTGATTATTTTTAAAAAAATGATACTTATTCGATTTTTATATTAAAATTTACTCGGTTTTATTTTTATTCCCATTGGATTCGGACTAGATTTTTATTCATAAAAATACTTATTTTTTAAAAAATAAATAATTCAATTATTTTTTATTCGATTCCATTTGATTAAGATTCGATTTTTTTTATTTTAAAAATTTTCAACCAATCAATTTTATATCATGTTCGGTATATATTATTTAATTTTAAAGACTATATACGGTTATATAGTCTTTATAGTCAATCATAGTAAAACAAAAACTAATTTTTTTTTACTGTATTGCATTCGTCCCCGAAGATCCCATCTAAACCATACGATCTTACCATAGATTCAATTTGTGTCTTATGGATCATTACTTTTACATAGAAAAATCCAATTCATTCACTAAACTCCAATTTTAAATGCAAAAATCAAAAAAATTTTGTGGAAAGAAACAAATTTATGGGCCAAGACCCAAACAATGTGGGCCCAGCCCAATTATTGGACAACATACATTATTAATTCTTTTTGTAATTTCAATCAATAACTTTTTTGTGTTTTAGTTTTTAAAATTTTAGAAAATAAAAAAAAAATACAAGAAAGAATGCTTCTTACATCACTCGGCATTGTTACGAGGCAGCTACATGGAGGGAGCACTAGGTTTATGAATCATCCATTCATAGACTTACACGTGTCCATATTAATTGTCAAGCACCAGAATCACTGTTTAACTGATTAATTAATTTATGGGAAAAATAAAAAGAAAATTAATTAATTAAAATTTTCAAACATTTAAGTAAAAATAAATAAAACAGGTGAAAGTGTATTATTACACCAGTCTTGGGTCACTTTGAAGTGAAAAAACACAATAGGACACGACAGGCCCTTATTTTAGTTGTCAGAATAATGTCAAAATATTTCTTAATTTTCATCTTTTTGTTTTAATCATTTATTTTGTTTTAGATATTCTGGGGCTTTTGAAACTTTGTTGGAAAAAATAGGCATACCTAGATTTAGAAATCACTAATATTAGGTTACTATATTCCCTTTGATCATTGTTACTTATTCAGGTATTTTATATAAAAAAATTCGATTTTTTTGTTAGTAGAATTCATTTTCATAATAATGATAATAACAGTAGCATTATAATGATACTATTAAAAAATTATTATAGTTATCATAAATAGAAACATTGTGTAACATCTAGCCTGTGATCAAATAGTGTATTCTAATAGTCATTATTATAGATTTTTTCAAATGTGAATGAAAATATAATTGCAAATATTCGCTATTGACATTTATATTTATTATTGGTTTCCAACAATGGTGGTTTCATCTTACCTCAAATGTTCCAAACATGTATGGCTTATCACATTTATTTAACATATTGTATTTATTAGGAAATTACCCTATTTCTCTTTGTTAAATCATAAATGCCTTAGTTATTTTGATGATTTTAGATTGAATTGTAAAACATGAAAAAAAAAATTGAGATCCGAGTTATCAGGTTTAAAAATAGATTGAAGGATTATAAGAGGGAAGAGAAAAGAATAAATTTTTAACATTATTTGTTATATGATCTACTCTACAATTATTTTTAATATATAAAAAATATCTTTAAAAAACTTGTGAATACTGGTTTTTGGGCTTGAATTATTTTTAAAAATTTATAGATTAATTTAGTAAAATTTTCTCAACACTTGTGTAGCAAACACAAATATTTTACATCAGTATTCTGATAATAAAAAAAATAGATGCAGATGGTGTAAAAAACAGTACATGTTCTGAAAAAACATAGTTATATACTTATATATATATATATATATATATATATATATTGAAATTGCCTCGTGTGTGGAGATGTAGAGAAGATGTGATTAGTGCATTTATAATCCCAAGTTAATTATATGATTAAAATAAGCTTAGGTTTTGCACGAGGAGATAAAAGCGGTCTAACAAGACGCGAGGAAGAAGAGAAAAAGGGAAGAAAAAAAAACATTTAAAATCCAAAGGACGCAACTTTGAAAATGGCTTCTCATCTGCAAATTCTTCTCTTTCTAATGGAACTCTAAACCCTCACCCAAGTCTCCTCTTATGCCAATCCGATCATCTCTCGCTCTTTCCTCGATACCCTTTTCCTCTTTCTCCGGTATCTGAGCCGGGGAAGCTCAGCGGCCATGCTTCTGCCGCCGTCGCCGGAGCTGTCGGCGGTGGTGAGGGCCGGGACGACCGGGCTGGCCGTGCTCGAGAAGACAGACCTTTCTCCTCTTTTGTCTCTCTGAGTCTGAGAGATCGAATGTTGCCTGGGTACATTCATGGATGAGAGAGAGAGAGAGAGAGAGAGAGAGGGAAGAACAGTGGCAAAAATCTTCCCTTTCTTGTGCTGTAAAAGGCAGACAGGTTGGAGCCAGGCAAATACAAATCTCTATATATAAATATTATATATGTTTTACAGTAAAAGAAGACACTAATTTCACAGACTTCTCTGGGCTTTTTTTTTCGGGCTTCTTTGTTTTTTTTTCCCCATTATTCTGGGATTCTGTCGGTGACATTTCGTACGGGGAAGAGGAAGAAGAAGAAGAAGCATAATCATTGATAATGTATACCTCCGTTGATAGAAGTGAAACAGATGATGAACAAGAACAAGAACAAGTTCTGATGATGGTTTAGCTAAGCATTTTTTCCTATAATTTTTTATTTTTTCCCCTCAAAATGTGAAAATCTTTGGCAGATTCATTTGCTCAAAGTGTTCATGGTGATGATGATGATGTATGCTGTTTCTATTTTCCTCTGAACTTGAGTAGACTAACATGAGATCTACGAATATAGAAGATATAATCCTTCCCTTCTGAATCTTTTCTCGCTGCATTATTTATTTTGTTCAGTTTTCTGATGAAATAAGATATGAACATTTTCCCTCCATGATTAGGTTATGATTTGGTCTTTAAGTCCATCATCATCAATGGAGACAGGGAAAAAAAAAAGGAAACTTATCAAGCTTTTTAGGACTCTTCATCATTGGATTCCAGATTAAGACAAATCTTATATCATTGTTCATCACAGAACTATTCTCTCTTCAGATCTTAAATCTAGAGCTTAGATTCTCACCATCTTGTCTTTTCGAGCTTCATTCCATTACATAAATCAAATGCTCACTCGCTCCTTAAATCCACTGAAACTGGGCAAGATCATACTTCTGTGTTCATTGCCTGTCCTGTTAAGGATCTGGGTTTTTTTAAGGTTGTTTGTTTTTGTTGATCTGATCTATCTTTGTCCTTGTTGCATCTGAAAGTTCTTAGTTATGAAATCCTAACCCAAGTTTTATGGAAAGAATGCTCTGAAAGCGACGCTTGCTTAAGCTTTTCACTCTCTTTTTAGGTGATGGATGTTAACTTTCAGAAACCTGTATATATTCCACCCCCTTTGGATTGCCTTCTACTTCTCAGTTTGGCCGTAAAGTTTTCAACTTTGAAGTTGTTTTCGACAATGTAGGTAGCAACTAATCTGTTGAAACAGCTGAAAAAAAACGTTTTACGCCATCTTTATTCCATTTCGATCCAAGTTTTTTTCAGAAATGGCCTAAATTCTCGACGAGCCTGTTCTCTATCTCCATCCTCTTCTTCATGAACAGACTGTACTTAGAAACCATACTCTGATCTCCGGATTTCACCTTAAGCTTGCAGCTCAGAGCCGTCTTCTCCACCTTTCCCTCGTAGAGACACGAAATGGGCACGAAGCTTCCGTTCTTGTTGCAGAGCCATCCATGAGCAGCTCTCACCGCAGCTCCAAGTGAAGCCGAATCTGCCCATTAAAACAGCATTTTTAAGCGAAACCCTTCTTGGGTCTTTCGGTCTTACCAAAGTGAATCAAAATGCTCAACGAGATGAACGAGTTGGAAGCCGTTTAGAATGATACCGGGCCTTTGGACAGTATATACATCGCATCCAAAGATTGCAGAGATCAGACTGAGGATGTTTTCGTTAGCTGATGCTCCACCAGTTGCTATGATTCGGATTGGAGGGGAAGGCATACCGAATCTCTCAGTGTGAGCCCTCTTCGAGAGGAATTGCCCTTCAATCAATGCCCGAACCTGGAAGGAAAAATATATCAGGATCAAATTCAGTACATTGCTTTGAGGGTTTTCTATACAGAGTAGTGAACGAGTACTACGAATTACTCGCCTCAGATGCAGGGTCGAACTCAGTGACTTCGTGTTCCTTAACGCCCTCAAGAGTTTCACCAGAAAAGTTTTCAAGAACATACCGATGGGTACCGACTATACATAAAAGAAAGGGTTACGTTCCAGGAAATGAAAGCGAGAACCCGTCAAAGATATCAAAGAGAATGATGTAGGAAGGAGAGGATCTCAAGAAATGTACCCGGAAGAGGAGGGACGATCTCATTCTCGGTATAATAAAAACCGAGCTTCCCATCTGATGAAGCCAAAGAAAACAAAGAGGTTAGATAAATAAAAACCATGGAAGAAAAGGAATAATCAGTATGGACTGACTTACCATTCAGTGGCGGTGTTTGCTTCAAGAGCTTATTGAACACATCCCAAGATTTCTCTGCGCAATGGTCGCGAATATCTGAAAAGAAATATACTCAGAAATCTTCCTGAAATTGAAACACAATCTTTAAAATAAACGCAGGAACGGTACTTTTTAGCAGTAAACACCTTCTCGAGTGAGAGAAGCGTTCTTGTAGACCAGCATCACCATATAACTCTCGGGGTCGACTGGATTAGGGAAAACATGCCCTTCAAGAGAAGGTTGATGTTCTTTGGTAATCCCAAAGACCTGTAAATCGGAAAAATGCCTTAAAAATGACGAATTAAGAAGCAAAGAGGAGATAGATGTCTCTTTGTTTGTCACTATGAAAGCTCGGAAATGAGAAAGAGCCTTTACTGTGTCACTGGTTCCGAGACTAATTGCTAGATCACCCGGAGTACTGAGAGTCAAACCTGTGGAACAATGTTAATCAACATGGAATATCTTCACACAAAGCCAGAATCCGATCTCAAGACTTATTGCTGGTTTAAGGATTGAACATATGGATATTAGCTTGATGCAAATCCCGGGTAAAAATATCGAGCCCAACATACAAAATATCAGCAGATGCTTGAGCAAGTAATGACAGTACAGACTAGAAAAATGGGTAAAGACCGAAAATGTTTAGTACCTGCCAAACTGTTAGGATTGTCCCCTGACCACTGCACGACCACGCAGTTCTTGTCAAACCGAAACCTGTAATAATATCAAACGAATTTAGACTCGTGTTCTAGATGGAAAAGGTGAAAATTTTACTTGGTGAAATGTAAAAAGGATTGATTTTTGAGCAGAAAAGTAACGCATTTCTATGACAAACTTGTTCTCTGCAAATTTTCCATTAACAAGTTTCACGAACGCAAATTCATATAAAAAATATTACTATTGAATTCCATTATCTTAGATTGGGTTGGAAGGTAGCAAACTTATACATATTGGAAACGATAGGATACTAACCTCTCAACAAAATACTTGGAAATGGGACCAGCAATGGCATGAGCTGGGGCTAGTTTTCCGAGTTTTTCCTCCAAACCTGGAGCTGTAGCCTGCAATGAAGAGTATAATCAAACAAACATTCTGTTGATTGGTAAAGCCCTTGAATCATTTCTATTCTCCAAAGTTCAGCAAACCTCTAAAGCAACTCTGGACCAGCATCGTTGCTTTATATCCATCAAATTCATCCCGGCACCATCAGTTTCATCAATAGGAGCATAATCTCCAATTAAAATCGATGCCATGAAGGAGCTAACAAGAGAAATCCGGTCTGTATTCTTATAAGTGTCGGGCTGCGTGGCAAAAATCTTCCGTATCTGTGGTCCAGTATACCGTTCATAAGCTCGGGAGCCAGTGATCTTTGACAATTCCAAGGCTCCTCCCACAGCATTCTCAATCTCTTTGCATTGCACTGTGGTGCTACTATCCATCCATATCGGTGATTCTTTGACCGAGAAGGCATCGCCCAATTGATCCTTTAACAATCTCTTCGAGTCCAAGGATCTCAATATGTTAGAACTGCCACCCTTCCAATACACACTGCCGTGTTGCTGTCCACTCCCGGAAACTGCAGAAACTTTCCCGAAATCGAAATTTGCCTTCGAGAGCCTCTCGAGAATGAGGTCCAAAGCCTCAACCCACATCAATGTGGGCGACACAATTCGTCCATTCACGGATGTGTCCCGATAAACCCCATCTTTGGTTTTGTAATGAGGCAGATCAGAATCGAAGTGAACAAGTTCTGTCTTGACAATGTTCAGATTGGAGTCCAAGACAGTTGCCTTCAAAGACCTTTCATGGAAACAAAAGAACAGACAACCTCAGGTTGAGGATAAGAACAAATTCTCTACAGAAACCAGTGATCAGAAACTCGTTTGTATGTAAAGACACAAACTTTGATGATCCAATCAGATTATCAGCGCAAAATTTTATGAAATTCGATATCAAGTTCACAGATTTCAATCCGAGCCAACAACAGATTACACGATCAGATTGCAGTTCTCGACGCAGAAACAAACCTAGTTCAGAACAAAACTGAATATAAACCAAATTCAACGGGAAATCTCGGATTCACTCATATGGGTTTGCACCGAAATTTCCAGTTCTTGAAGAAATTAAACCCGACAAAAAAAAAACGTATCAACAAATTTCGTGTTTGCAAAACTGGGTGGACAGTTCAAAAGCCCGACAGGACTGTTGAACGTACGAGGATAGGAAAATGAAAGAAAGAGACATACTGAGTAGAGCTATCGAAGCCGAGGAAAAGAGAATCCTGAGGAAGAACCGAATCCGCCATTGTTGTTGATCGCAGGTCGAGGAGAAAATGTAAAAAGAAAAAACTTCACGTTTCTGGGTTTATAGAAGAAAAATGCAAACTTTAATGGATAAGAGCAGATTAATTCGGATAATTCTCCCGTAAATCTCGAAAACGAAACAAGATTAGATACGATAACGGTAATCTTGTTGGGATTTTGTGTGTTAAATTCAATGGTAATCATTTTATTTCTCCATTTAATTTCTTTTTTAGGTTGAATTAATATCGTGATCAAAGGGTGAAGAAGCAAGCAAAACATCTTCCAGAAGAGTTCGCTTATGGTTAATAATATTAATAGTAAAGATTGTTTACATCAAATGATTTTGAAAAAATCTATCTTTTATATCATATTAAAATCGGTTTGCATTCATATGGATAAAAAATACTTATTTTCTTAAAATAAAAAATCGATTTTCTTTTATTTTTAAAATTTTAGTTTTTGGGTTAAAAAAAAAATCATGCCTAATAAATTTTATATCAAATTTGACATATTATTGGGTTCGGCTTTGTGGAATCGAATTGAAATGTCTACTCCTCCGTAGAAAGACAAGTGGCTAAGGACAACAATGTTTCATTATCCTTGATGTCCACATTTGGATCATCGGTGTCCGTGTCCCTACAACAACCGGTTTCGGTTTCTACGAGCCCTTTTGGCTTATCGACTTCGCCAACACCTTGCATGATTGCATCTCATTTGTTTGAGATGGACCGACATTTCCCTCTAGCACGAGACTTTGAGTCGGGAAAACCCCAGAAAAATTCGGGCATCCGGAAATTATGAGATGGGATCGGGTTTGGCCATGAGGAAAACTCAAAAAATCGAGTCCCGGTTCGGATAATTGGGTCCGAGACCGGTATTACCCGTGTACCAAATGAACAAACAAAATTACCTTTTTGCCCCCAAATTTTAAACAAATTATGCACAAACCTAGATTTCTTACATGAAATCTCTCAAAAATTTTGGGTTAAAGATCTCAAGTGACCGACCTATTTGATACATATTTTGAAGGAAAAAAAAAATTTTGTATATCGACCAGAACGGATCTAGAATCAAATAATATCTCGTGAGAAACGAGACGTTCAAATTTGGATTCGGATATCTCAAAAACCTAGGATATCCGATCCACTCCCATACCTAACACTACCTAACAAGACATGCAAACACCCATGCATGTAAGAAATAGCCTGAACGATTTAAGCGATAGACATCAACGCGTATCCCGAATTCATAATAGTGTATACCTTTTCTATGTATCCGAGCAGGTGTTCTGCCGGCCGATTTTCCAGTTCGTGGCGAGTTAGAGCACCAAACGTTGCCCCAAAAACAAGTTCACAACGGGCGAATACACCATCAACGTATCTTTCTATGGCGAATGCCACATCAGCTCCTTCATATTAGTTTGAAGGACAATGTACGTTTTCGTCACAATGGTCATAGCAATGATCTTCCCGTTCTTCAACGATTTCTTGGGTCTCATCGTGGCGGCCACGTTCTGGCCGCTGACAGCATACTTTCCCATAGAGATGCATATTGCACAAAGGAAAACGAAGAAATTCCCGTTTACCTGGACATGGTTGAAGATTCTTGGCTCGGTGTGCTTGGTCATTTCCCTCGTTGCTGCTGCAGGATCCATTCAAGGACTGATCCGAAGCCTCGAGACCTATAAGCCTTTCCAGGTTCAACAATGAACTTCTTCTTCTTGAACAATTTGGATCCAAGAAGACAACAAACATGTAAGATGATTTCACTCTAAAGTAAGATTTTGTGTATTCCTTTGATGGTTTATTGGTGTGTTTCATATCAGCAAAGAGTTTAGTTCCACCTGTTCTATTAAAACATCCACTGGGAAATGGACATGAAACACAAGGAAGAAACCAAAAGACTATAAATAAAACATCAAATTATAATGTAATCACCTAATGAGACCTGTACATCCCTCCTTAAACTCGCCCGTGTTTTCCGAATGATTTGTGCTGAAATCAAACTCGCTAAAAAGAGTGTTCCTAGCTTTTACCTGACTCTCCTTCGGAGAAAATGTATCAAAAAAACTTTTTTTTTTGGCTACCGAGGACGAGATTCAAAAGGAAGAATCCTGTATCATGACAGATGCTTGTTCTTCGCTGTCCAAAACCCGCATAGTTTCAGTTTATCATGTTTACTAGCAAGAATATCTGGCAGTTGCATCGCATTAACCTCTCCACACCGAGAACTTCCAGCACTTGTTGAATGAAAAAGTAGCCTGAAGACAAAAAAATTTCTCGAGAAAGTAAAGAAATCAAACTCGAGGCGAGCAAGTGTTATAATTTGCTCGAGGATACTTGAATGCCGCATGAAATATGAGTTATTATTACCTAAGAAATCATTCCATCTTCAAGAAACCTCGATCTCACTTAATACAAACGCTTGAATAAGACTTTGCGCAGCATGAAATTGCTCCGGAGTTCCAGATATCACCATAACAGTCTCGGTGGCCCCAGGCTCGGGATCCGTTACTATGATTTTCGCATCAGAAAACTGAAATAGTGCAGAGAAGCACAAGAAAAAAAAGTAGAAACTATCACTATACCTACAGAGAACATATCCAGACTAATACTAGCAGTATTCCAACAACAGCACAGCATGAGAGTAAATTCACATCCAAATGGACAAAATAATTTAGATAGTGATATATGTTTTCTAAGTCCCATGAACCCTTACATAGCTATTTCTGTTATTAAGATCACAACTTTAATCTGGATACCAGTATTATTACCTAGGAATCAAACCAAAATATTGCTTCAACGGGTTCATAGTTTTGTTTAGCCAGAAGAAACTAAAACAGTAGAGAATTGCTCTTAAAGAACCAGAAAGAAGAAGAAGAAGAAGAAGAAGAAAATCACTTACCTCGCATATTTGTTTTAAGCATGCACCGTCTTCTCCATATATCACAGGAACAAGAGAACTAGGAACTATGACTTCCTCAGTTATGCTTGTCACGATAGAGACATTATCTTCTTCCAATGATCCCTAAAAGTACATGGGAGAAAAAAGTGACTGATTATGGTTATGCCTCATATAACAATGGAGGAAAAAATGGAAAAAACTATACTTCTAGTCTCCAGTATCCTTTCAAGCCATCATTTACTTCTCCGCTTTCACTAAAAGAACAAGAAGATTCAATCCTAGAACTGCAAAACCACTTAAAAGGACGACTTCAAGAATTGATAACAGGTATTTAAGGTTGAAAAGCTAGATATACCTCAGGGAACCGTGATTTCCTCTTGTATACTTCTGGGGGCATATCGGGCTCAATATTGTGAAGTGAGGGAGAATGAAAATCGTGTGGGAGAAGGCCATCGCAATATGCTGGGCCACTGAAGTGACCGAATTTGTGAAGCGGAGGGCCAAAATCAGAATTTCGGCCCGGAGAGGAGAATCCCGTCCCATTCCCGCCCACATTTTGGGGCAAAGGATCAAGCAACACAGTATCCATAGGGTGGGGACCCAAAGGAAAAGCATCAAGAAAGAAAGAGTGGAGCAACCTAGTTGTTATCAGCAACAGAGCCTCTTGAACTGCTTCATGCTCTCCACTGATCTATCACAACATGAAATAAGGACAAAAGGACAAAAGATGAGGATAGAAAGTAAGAAAAAGAACGATAAAACCCTTCCCGGGAGGAAGAAAAGAACTACAAAACCGAGCTTCATCTGATAAAAACAAAGAAAAACTGTACCTGGACAATTTCATCACCTTCTAAAACATCCTTTTGAATCTTGGCAACCCTAATGTGTATCTGGGCACCAGATAACCTTCTCATTTCAGAAATGTTAGAACCACCCTTTCCAAGAAGAAAACCAACTTGATTTGAAGAAACAATAAGCCTTGCTGGCGCATTCTTGTCTTTGGTATCAGAAGTAGCCCTCGCTATCCTGGCTTGCACGCGAAGAATGGCATCTTGGACAGGTGATATCCTATCAGCAGGATGCTGCACACATTAACCTGTCTTAGATTTGAAATTCTCACACTAAGACCTATATGTTCACAGATACTAATACTAGGCGTTAGAAATTGCTTCTACACTAAGTAAAGGAAATAAAATAAAAGTATTATGCCATTAATATCATACCGCTGGACCAGATATAATAATAACACGGTCCTGAGAACCGATAAGTTTATCCAGAATTTTAATCTCACAGCCTGTATCGTGTTTAAGAGTCTTGATAACCAATCCCCCCTTTCCAATGATCCATCCCACTCTCTCATCGGGACATAACAACCTGAATGTCAGCTTTTCTTGGGGTGGCATCACTTTGGAAGGAAAGTCAGCACAGTCCCAAGGTCCAGCGATATGGGATGACCATTGATAACCAAAAGAAATGTTCGGATCTCTGCAGGTCACGGACACACGAGCAAGCTTAGAAGATGTATGTGATGACGAACTTGCATAGTTTGCAGGGGAAAACTCAAAACTAAATGGAGGGTTCCCCAAAAGCTGTTCAGAGACGGATTGGATAGCCTTTTTAACTGCATCAGCATCCCCTGCAATCTTGAATGTAAAATGGAAACAGATGTCAACTCACAAATCAAGTACGCATGCTCCTATTTGATTAACGAAAACAGCATAACGATGAATTCCAAAATGCACATTCAGACGTTCTAGATGCACCAAACAACCAAACATCTTTCACAATAAATATGTTGAATAAATCAATAAAAACACTCAATCCACATTAAATAGAACATAATAGCTGAGGCAAGCTCATTCAAGCAAGGGCCAGAACGTAGTAGCTCAACAACTTAACTAGAACTTTTCCAAAAGATTTAGTAGCTTTTGATTTTATCTATAGTACCTATACACCTAAATATATATGAACCATCTTTGGCTAGAGAGGTAAAGCAAGCCTCGCTCAGCACTCCGCCAAGTCAAAGGCCAGATAAGAAATAGGTCAACAGATCAAGCCTCCGAGCCAAGTGAATATACACATCAACCCCACTAGGGCCATAAGTGAATGCTTAAATTCTTAATTGCTCTATAAATGCATCAACTGAAGTCATTTCTTAGGGATTACAAATATCCTCATCCCAGACTTGAGCATCTACTGCAGCAGCAATCGTTAAAACTTTGTTAGGTCTTCAATATCCATTGGACTGAGTTACTACGAGGTTTATAGTGGATTTGGCTATTAGTAATGTTCATTTCCATGGGTTTGTGAGTTAGTAGGAGGGTTAGTTAAGTAATTTTAAGTTCATGCAGGTAAATACCCGAAAAGGGAGACTAAGAGCTCGACATCGGGATTTTGGGATAGGTCGTGTTATGGGGAGAGGAGGACAAAATCTCCAGAATCAATACCTTCCATCTTATTCGGCAAATGTTTTCATACCAACAAATTCGAGATTTCTATTTAGGATCTTAATAAATTGTATTGCCAGAGAATCCATTGAGGTGATTGAGATTACGATTTCTACAGTGAAAATCAGAAAAATGGATATCTCGGATCAAGAAGTATTTTCTTGATAGGGACTGAATAGTAATTTTCTCTAATACCAATATGTTAAGATCCAAAATGGAAATCTCTCATTCAGGCATCAAAACCTTTTCAAAATAAGATGGAGGGTATTGATTCTTGAAATTTTGTCTTCCTCTCCCCTAAAAACGACCTAATAACAATTCCCAAAAATTGATGCCCACTTAGTCTTCCACTTCAGGTATTTTTTATCTGAATGAACTTGTAAAATTTAACTACCCCTCCTACTAACCCACAGACTCATGAGTCATGAAACAAGCCTTACTAAAAGTTACAGCTAAATTCACCATAAACCTCAAAATAACATAGTGATGCCAATATTAGAGATGTACCATATTATTAGAACCTTTGACCAATCATCTCAACACTTGGAAGACATACCGATAAATTATCAACAAGAATTTTGTAATATAAGGAAAGTTACCTGAACTATGTCATCAGAGGCTAAAACACAAGAAGGGTGTTTGTCTTTTGGAAGGATTCGAATTTGAGCCCCGCTTCCACGAGACATTCGTTGGACTATGTTTCCACCTTTTCCCAAAATGTAGCAAACCTGACTGCTAAGAACAATGAGTCTTACCAAACATGGAAACCGCTTCTCCTTTCCCATGTCAACCTCATCAGTTTCACTCTTCAGTTCAGCTATTCGTTCCACAAGTAGAAACAGTGCTTTCTGCACACATGATGAAACATCAGGCTCAGATTTTGAATCTGGAACATCAACCATTTTCTTTTCTCTCCCATCCTGCTCTTTTCCAACATCGCTTGTTTTGGCAGTGTTAACCTCCTCACGATCATCCCCCTTCCTATCAGCATCCAATTCAGTCACTTTCCCACTACCCTTGATGACAATTACTCTCTCCTCGCACTCTTGGATGGGATCTTCAACTCTCACCTCCATGCCTGTTTCCCTAAAGACCTGTGAAAGGAAGCTACCATCCTCCTCCTCCTCCCCGGTAATTTTACCAATTTTAGAAGCAGGACACAGCAAGCGGAAGAAAGTAGCATCACTTATGGACTTCAAAGGATGATTTTTATCAAAGTTGCTTGATGACTTTTGGCGTTTGGCTGTGCCATTTGTTTCTATTGAACCCTGATTACAGAGTCTCTTAGAAGGTGAGCTGGACATGCCAACAGTCATTGACAAACCTGATTTAACGCAATTTCCAACAAGCATCAGATACAAAAGCAATGGCAAAATCTCCTCATACTAAGAAAATCCAGCTTCTGTTCGAAACTTTTAAGATAAATGTTTGCTAGGTATCAATTCATAGAAACGGCGTCTTCATCGCTGAAAAAAATCTACAATGCCCTAATTCTAAGAAGCTAATTCTTTACACGAACTCCCCTAAAGAAAGTGTATAAACTACTACCGGCGGTCATGACCCTCAAACCCAGAAGAAAAAAAAGGAAGTTGCGGGCAAAAATAGGATCTCTCTCGCTCTGACTCTGCAACTCGATAAACAATTTGCAAAACAGAGGAACAAGAACATTAAAAAAAGCCCACAATTGATTGAAAAGATTTCAGGAACAGAAAGAGGAATAATTCTCCCTATATCTACGAGAAGCATACGTTCTCACGAACAGAGAACGAAAACCCACCACGACAGAAGCTAATGGGTCTTTAGTCTGATTCACAAGAAAGCCACCGGAGATTTACGCGAGCCGCCGGAAAACGGGGGAGAGCTGAGCACGATGACTCAGTCGACTCGGATTTTAGTTTTCCTCTACATCGACGTTGGTGACCACTGACCAGGTTGCTTTTATTGGGCCTTTCGGGTTACTCGAATTTTCTTACGGCCCAATTTTTATATGATTTTCATTCGTCGTTTCGGCTAAATTAATAATTTAAAAAATCTACACCAACATCTCTTAATTCCAAATTTATGCCTTTAATCCTAAATCTATTTGAGATCATCACTTTAATTCCAAATTTATATCCTTAATCTTAAATTTATTTGATATCGCATAAATTTCATTTCCATCTTTTCGATTTGAAATAAACATTGTTAAATGTTTTCTAAGTGGAATATAGAGGGACGTATATATGTAAAAATACAGATGCATTTGTTTATAATAAATTACAATATAATTATATTTTATACTAAAATTTTGAAAATTTGATTTGATAATATAACTAACATATCTTTTCTATTTTTTTTTTTTCAATTTAAGACTTCTGTTGAAAATATTTTGTCCATTCGCTGTTAAGTATAGTGTTATGAAAGTAAATTTTGAGTCGCCATTAATGTTTTTTTTTATTTGGAAGTTTTCCAAGATATTAAGGAAATAATGAGTTGGTGCGGTTTGATATTTTATTTTATGATTTAGATCATTTCTCGAAAACGCCGCTTTCGCATGTAATCTCCTCCTTTTTATTAAGAGAGAAAATGTATACTTTTTCACATTAAAAAAAAATATATGCTCGATATTTTTATTAAGGGGAGTCGGCTCAAAAACATGAATTTTCTAAAATATTTAAAACTTTTAAAAAATACACGAATTTTTAAAATATCATTATAACTATTAACGATGTCAGTCATTGGCTGATTCAATCTGACGTGGATGGTTGACATGGCGTATTAGTATATGTGTCAGCACTAAAGCACCGCCATGTGTACAAAGGTGTCCATATCATCAAATTTTAAAAAATAAATTTTTGTGCACATATATCATAATTATTGCTTACTACTATATTCCACTCCGACAACTAATCTAAGGTCGGAATTTTATATATTTATTTGGAAAATTGTAGAAAATTCATTTTTTTAGTCGACTCTACTTAAAAAAAATCGTAATTGTTGTATATTAAAAATTGAAAAGAGAGAGCTCACATTTAGGACTAAGGAGAAAGGAGGGTGAGTATTTTGAATTTGTGTTAGGAAATGAATGAAATTGGATTGAATAATATTTAATTGAAAATTATTTTAAAAATAAATTAATGGATTTAAATAGAATATAAAAATAAAAAATAGTTAATGAAATTCAATGTTAAAACCAAATACGTATAGTTCACAAAACTCAATGCACTAAATATTAAAATTAGAGATAGGCGTTTCGATACGGTATCTTAAAACCAAATCATAGCGAACAAAAAAATATGGTATCAATTTCAAACCGAATCGTCCAAAATTTCTAAATAATAGTTTTTTTACAAAACCAAAATTTTTGAAGTTGAACCGAAACTAACCTAATTTTAAAAAATTCTAAAAAATTCATTTTTTTAAAAAAAAAATCTAATTTTTTTTAATAGAAACAAGAACCGAATCAAATCGGAACTAAAACCGAACTGAACCGTATATAATATAATAACTGATTGGTATATATTTCTATAGAACCGGAAAAATCGAACCAAACCATTTGCGAAACGAACCAACGGAATACAGAAACACCCACCCACCCCTAATCAAAATAACGGCAAATAAAGCCATGTGCCCAAAGGTATTTGGGTCGTCCTCGACGAAAGGACAATGATTATTTATAAATTGGGATTGGGATACATTCTTCAATTTGCACGTTCTTAATTACAAACCCCAAAATTTTGGAAGAATATCACAGCAGTGGCTGAATCCACGTAGATAATCCTACACCTTTTGCTTATTTAAGTGCAATACAGATTTCATTTATGCTTCGATAATGCCATGTATCATTCGTTTATAATGTTACCAACACACGGATTTTATGAGTTACGTTGAATATTTTTCCATATATATATATATAGATAAACCATAACCATTTCTACCATATATATAGTCCAAATTTTGGATATCGATTACTGTTTTATATTATAAATAAAAAAGTTAACATCATGATTTAGATGTATCGGTATAAAGATTCGTAGTATAAAATGTGATATATGTAGGATCGATATAAAAAACTTCAACCAAGAAGAAAATATGAGATGCTTCGCACGATTTTTTCATGTTTACATTTGAAAGTACGAAGAGGTATAAGTTTCCGACCGTCAAAATACAACTCATATTTTATGACAAGGAGAGATGCACCTATTAATTGGGCATGTGATATATCTTATCATTCAATAGTGGGTCCATCCATCCCACCCATATATATGTTTGCATATCCATATTATATATATATATATATATATATATATCACAATGGAATCCAGAAGTGCCAAATGAGTTATTTGGATTGAGCTCTTTGGGCCATGGATAAGGACGATATAAATCTCTCCAAAAATGAATACACCATGATTATGTTGGCATTATCCCAAATAATTAAATATTATTTAAAAATAAAAGGATAAAGGTAAAGCTAAAAACACTAACTACAGTGCTGGGACACTTCCAACTATTTCCCAAATGCAATAAAGTTATACAATCGATATTTTCAGAAAAATTAATTAAAGTTTACCTAAGACTGTTGCATGCATGCATGCACGCACCATCGATCTTCCAATTATACAATGCCAAGAAAATATTGATTAAGATTTTTTAGTTATGGTTAACAAAATTTTGACGTAATAAGATTGGACGTATGTTTTTTTTTTTTTAATAATTAGAATGGTTCTCCTAGACTTTCGACCCAATCTACATCTACCCTAGAGTCCGGGACTGACCGGGTGACCTTCCCTTTGGGAATTTCCACTTCCAACAGC